GAGGGGAGGGGAGGGGAGGGGCAAGCCAGACCAAATTGCTATATTTAGGATAAAAAACAACAGCTGGATTAAAATGGACAAAGCCTTGGCAGAAGAACGTGTCCCGCAGGATGCATCTCGCGGTGGGAGCCCTGCCACAGAAAGGCCCTTTAGAAATAAGAGTTTTGCAGCCCGGAGGAAGAACAGCCTCCGGGAAGGGGCCAAGATGTCCTAACTAGATGTCAGCTGAAGGAGCCAGGCCAACTTGTTCACCCCCTTTTCTCTTTTCTCCCAGGGAGGGTTTAGGGTGGGAACGGGGGCAGAGATCCGTGGGGAGGCAAGACGTTCTGGTCTCCAGCCTGAGGACTCTTCAGCATCCCCCCCCAACCCAGCCGTTGCAGATTACTGGCCGAAACGTGGCAGCAACAGGAGCAAATCTCAGAGGCGCTACTTCCGGTGGGGTTGGGGGGAGGTCAGTTGGTGGATCGAGGATTATAATGGAAGCACCGCTACTAAAAAAACCCAGCTATTTGCTGCTGAATTTCAGCAGGTCCAAACTTGGTATCCTGGAAGGACTCTGTCCACATCGCATGTCAAGAAGGGGAGGGGTTCAGTCATGGGGTCCTGGCGGCCATCTTGGCTTTTTTGACACCCGTCCCCCTAAGCACCCCTGCCAAGCCAAACCCAGGCGCTTCTCTCTTTTTTTTTCTTTTTTTTATCAGACACTTTGGAAAAAAATATACAATCAACTGCAAAAGAGAACGTGACCAAAAAATACAAGGCTGCAACATGGAACTGGGTGCTCCGAAAATGGTGGAGATTCCTGTTTTGCAAATCGGGACCCAGAGGGCAGAGCGTGAAGTCGCTGAGCCTGCAGTTCTGAGGACCCAACCGCCAAAAACCAGGACATGCGACGGGTGCGTTGCAAAGCACAATCACCCCTGACAAGCCTAACGTTGACTCTAATTCTAACAGAGATTCCCCCCATTCCTGGCTTTCCACCCTACACGGAGCCACAGACCAACCACACAGGCACTGAATTAAGATATGGTGAGCCAGTTGGTGGCTCTGTGTGCGATGCAAGGAAGGAAAAATAGATCGCTGCAAATAAATAATATAACGAGTGTGTTTCAAGTGGGCTCTGTTTTTGCATTTGAGGCAGCTGCTTTGGGGCACCCTTATTCCATTTTTGCACGCCAAGGTGCAGCACTGGATGGACGTGACGGTCCCGCCCTCCTCCAAGTGATGGATCTCCAAAAAGCACCTCCAAAGAAGCCCTTCTGAAGGGCAACTGGAAACCCACTCCCCGTGCCCAGAAAGGCAGCCCCCACAGAGGAAGGGAACCTGCCCCGGGGCCAACATAGCTTCTGACTCCCCCTCTGGCAGCCCTCAGAGGCCCCCCAATATGGCTGTTGGAAAGGTGACAGCAGCATCTCCTCCCCTTCTGAGGTGAGGAACATCAGAGGCCCCCACACAAACTCTTCCCCAAACTCCAGCCCCCTGGGGGCTACTGTTTTGAGACCCTGAGCTGCCTCCCACCTCAAATATTACAGAGCGGCCCAGCCCCAGAGGCCGCCCCCGCCCGCCTCCTGGTCTCTGGGACCCCCAGCCGCGGGGCCCCGGCAGGCCCCCTTTCTTCCCCCTTGAGTCCTCACCTCCCGCCCTCCTTCTCCAGCTTCTCAATCATGGCCTTGCGCGCCTGCGAGGTGGACACCTTGGGCAAGCTCTGCGCCTTCAGGATCTCCTTCTTCCGCTCGGCTTGGCGCCGCTCCAAGGCAGCCAGACTGCTCCCGCGCCCGGGGCTCTGATCCTCCCGCTCGAAGATGCTGGGCCGCGGGGCAGAAGAAAGACACAGGGTGAGAAGCCCCAGGCCCAAACAGGGATGCCTCCCCAGAGGAGGCAAAAGCATCGCGTCCAGATGCTCCGCGTTTGTTTGTGAAGTGAGTTAAAGGAATGCAATTTCCTCCGGCCCCACGTGGGTCCTGGTGCTCCCTAGAGATCCGCGCAAGGTTTGGAATGCAAACCACCCCAGGGTGGAAAACAGCCCATTCTGAGCAGAAAACGGGCTCTTCTGAGCCTTTCAGGTGCGCTCTGAGCTCCAAAATGGCCATGCCTGTTTCGCCCCGTAGCACTCTGCAGGTGTCCCCCAAAGGGCCGAGAAAAAGCCGTAAGGCAGGATGGGTCTTACAACGGCTGCTTTGGAGGATCTGCCTGTCTACCCCATGGCAGCACTCTACTGGGTCAGATTCAAGCCATCCACTGAACAGAAAGAAAACTAGGATGATGATGGTTTAAATTCATCATGGTCACCCCTCAAAAAGTCTCTTTTCCACCATCCCAGTGAGGCCTCCCAGGACCCCAAAGGCCTTCCTGCAAATAACACTAATGTTACATTTCCTTTTGGGCTTTGTTGGCGGGCCACTTCCTGATTATTATTTTTTAAATTGAAAAATATTTTTGGACCCTGCAGGCATGTTAGTGTCCCGGGGCTCTATGAACCTAGCATGGCTAAGAGGCCAGAAGCAGAGAGAAAGGCGCGTGCCGCTGCATTATGGGTTTACAGGGTCCGTCCCTTTTGAATGACAGACTCGGGGGGACAAGGAAGAAAAGCTTCTCGACAGTCAAATCCAGAGCGTGCGGGATCTCTTTTTCTGGAGAATCCCGAAAGCTCCCTGTTTCAGCGAGGAGTGCTGAAAACAGCTTTCATACACTTGGCTAGTTTAACTTTAGAACTGGATGGTGGATCATCCCTAAAAATGGTTTTGCCTTATGTTTTGTTTTCTTTCAAGTTATTTTTAGCATGGTTTCTCCTTAGCGTGTTCAGGGCTGACGTCAGCTGCTTGGAGAATCTTGCTAAAAGCAAGATATAAATAACGCCAAAGACGTTCATGAGCGGATCACCCAGCTCAGCCCGAGACCTTGCTCTCTCTTATGGAGCGATAGAAGGGACTGGCTAACTAACTCACCCTTTGTCCCCAGACTGTTTTGGGGTTCCTTTGGGCAAGGAGGGGGGGCTACTTACCACTTTGCTGTGAAAAGATGGACATAAATCCCCCCTCCTCCTCGGGTTGCCCTCCCTGGTCAGCCCCAGAGAAACTGTTATGGATCACACAGCACTGGGCTGGGGTCTCTACCTCCCTTCCTGCCCACAAGCAGCATTTACTTCCTGCCTGATCACGACGCAACACAGGAGCACAGCATCCAGCAGCTGTCTCAGCCGGACACCAAAGAGCAAAAGGCCTG